ATATATACTAATCAGTAATGACACAAGTCAGAATGCTCCTTAGAAGTGAGGATGGCAAGAACTTCATCTCACATATTTTGGATATGTTATGAGAAGAGAACAATCCCTACAAAAATACATAATGCTTTATAGAGTCGGAAAAAAAAGAGGAAGATCCTCAACAATATAGATTGACATGGTGGCTGCAACAATAGGTTCAAACATAGCAATTGATGGGATGGAACAAGACCAGGCAGTGTTTCCTTCTGTTGTACACAGGGTCACTCTGAATCAGACCTGACATGATGGCACATAGCAATGAAAACACTGACACAAGAGTTTATAAGTCATAATGGGTGGCAACTATAAACATTAGAAATAGCCACACTGGTGTTTACCAGTTATTTCAGAAGTAGTTCATGTGATATATGGTACAAGTACCACAGAAGCTTAACAGAAATTCACCTGTGGACCACTGATTTGCCTTGAATTCAAAACACATTGAGATTATTAAAAAATAGTTATAATCTTGAGGTAACACATTGTACATTGGAAAACCTACCCAAGGAATTCATAGGAATAAACTTATGAACAAATATGTCATTCATCAATAAAAATATAATAAAATTGTCAACAAAGAGAAAATTATTTAATAAACTATTATGTAGTTTTCTATCATGTATGCAGTCACTAAAAAGATTTGTAAACTATATTTAATTATATGGGAAATGCTTATGCTGAGGTAATTGTAGTCATGTAAATCCAAATTTCTCAATGAATACTTCATAAAACAATACAGAACTTCAAAAAAATACAAAAGGATACAAAACCATGGCCACATAAATAAAACAAAGAAAGGCCCAAATTACACATTATTCCTAAATAGAGAGTGTGGGGGGAGGTCAGATGCACAGGCATTCCCCCCCTGAGGGCAATCAGTTGCCAGACTGCAGTGGGCCCTGCTGTTAAAGACAATGGACAGGCCTGCAGTCATCTATGTGGTTACTATAGGTGGGGTTTACACCCTACTGATAATGGTTCCTATGGAGACCCAGGGACCAGGTCAAAGTTGAGCTGCTGTCCTGAATCTGGGATCCACCCATCTTGTTACATGTATACCGCAGTCCCTCCTCTTCCTGCTCCATGCATGTCCTGGACCACCCCCTCATTACTGTGTAACCTATAGTGTAACCCCTTCCTGTGACGTATGTCTTTACCTGTAGTTAGTGGGGGTGCATGCCCCCAAAAGGTATATAGGCCTGGGTCAGCAATATAGATCTCTCTCTGTCTCCCCTCTCTTCCCGCTCTCCTCTCCCGTCCTCTCTCCCTTGTTCCCTTGCTCTCCTTCCTTCCACGTGGACCACCAAGCAGGGCTGAGGTGAGCAATGCTACCATGTAATGTGTCTGACTCCATTATTGTAATATCTCTCCTCTACCTCTCATGCTCTCAATAACTTTAATGTAACACTTATATATCTCAACTGTACAGTTGTGCTTACTGAACCCGTGGATAGTAGTAGCGGTGGGAGCTGGTCCCCTACCCACCCCATAACTTAATACTACAAGGGAGGAAACATCAATTTCCAGAAAGCAATCACTCACATTTCTTCTATAACTCTTCACAGAGAGCAATAGCAAAGCTAGAAAAAGTAGATACATAAGAAAGGAAACAGAAGCCAATGATTAATAAAAAATCACCACAGAATGAGAAAAGCCCCCAAAATACAAAACACAGAAGTGTGGAAGGCCTTTTAAAGATAAATATGAAGGGAGATTGAGATTGAGTGGTTAAAAGGAGTAAAACTGATTTATATATGAGGATGGGGAAATGGATCTATGTGCATATATTTATAGGTTTAGTATTAAGGTAGCAGACAGACATTGGGCCTCCACTCAAATACTCCTTCAATGCAA